AGCTGATCCTTAGAGTGACCAAGTCCTCATTAATGTATTTGCCTTAACCCCCACTTACTGGCCATCCGTGAAATGGGATAGAAGTCATTACACCCCATAGCAACAGGCTTTTTGGAATGTAAATGGCAAAGTAAGGTACTACAGGAATGGTAAGTCACATGGCTTTGTGCTAGAGCAACAATGAGAAACTCTGTGGGTCTCCAGGCTGTGTATGAACTCAATTCATAAGGTCCCCTAGAGACCTTATCTGCTTGCCTCCTTTCCATCCTCTTTCTTCTGGCTGCTGTTCCTCCTGCTGCCAGTTTTGATAGCAGGAGAAATAGCTCTCAGCTTCTCCAGACTGCCCTCTCTACATTACGCCCTCCTTTGAGTGCTTAATAAAACACTGGGGAGACACCTTGGGAAGCTTGGCTTTGTTTGCAGAGCAGGGGGTTAAAACAGGCCAACGCAGCTGAACTGTGGTGCTGAAATGTGGCGCTGATCTGTATGCAAACCACGGGAGCAGCTTTTGATGGCCTTTCAGGGCATCATCTGGCTTGCCCTGCTTTCTCAGGATTTCCTTGTGTAGGTGAATGCCCATTTCTATGCTAGAGGTGGAAAAGGTTGTATGAGTACCTGTGATGTTTTCTCATCTTGACAGAAGTACAAACAGAAAGGCAGATACACACCTGATATGATTTTCAATAAATGTTTGGGGGGTATTTGCTTTTGCATGCTCTGTTTTAAACACGTGGAAGTGAATGTTTTTTTGAGAAGAGCCATCACTAAAGAAATGAAGCTACATCTCTGGAGGGATGGAGTTGTAGCTATCAGCATCCCACTGCACTTCTGTTGATCGATTCACAGCTTGGAGGCAGGAAGGGGAAGCAGAAAGGCTGTGCAGTGAAACACTTCAGCACCAAACCTAAAGGCAGGAGGAGAGGGGGAAACTAGTTATTGCCCATCCCCTCCTACATTCCTCCTTGCTAGCTACTTCAGCACACTATTCATGAAAATTGTTAAAACTAATTCCATAGTTGCTCTTCCTCCAGTCCAATGTCTGCTTTCTCTACAACTGAGATTGGTTGTTGAAAGTTTTCAGGCTGCTGCCTCCCCAGTACGGCTGCCAAGAGAGCTCTCCTGCTGCCCCAGCACTGCCTGGTGTGGCTGTGAACAGCTCAGGCTGGTGGGGATCCAGGAGAGGCAGCTTCCTGTGCAGCAGGGATCATGCCAGCTTGCAGCAGTAGCTTCCGTACTCCAGCATCCTGTGCCATGCCAGTTGGGCATCTTTCTTTATAGAACAAAATCAGCAGTGTCCTGGGGTGTTCGTTTTTTACTGAGGCAGTTAACGTTGCACACAGTCATCATACCTGAGGGTTTGCTGCTTATTTATACAGTACTGCACGGGGTAATGTGCCTGTCTTGAGTAGTGGACCTGTTCCTCAAATACTGTAGGGAGGACAGACAGTAAGGAGAGGGAGGGGCCACCAGGACTCTCATGGCAGCAATGAATACACAGTCCCTGTGTATTCAGGGACTGACTCAGGCTGCACACTTTGGCGTGGTACTTGTAATAATTTGTGGGAAAAGAGGTGCCACACAGACTGCAGTAGTGCTGTCCACAGAAGGGCAGGCAGTACCGTCCATCTCTGGGCAGGGAGCTGGATCACATCTGCATGCTTCATTCTGGGGTCTAGATGCCAAACCCCTGAGACTCTTGCTGATGAATGCAAGTTATCCAGTCGTATCCAAACATTTCTCATTTCTATTTCTAAAAAAACACAAACCAAGACACCACAGGCAGAGATTGGGCTGGGGGTATCAAATTGTTGGATTATCAGTGTTTTGATTGTATCTAATGTTTCAGTATGAAAGGTTTTGTTTGTTTTGATTTTGATCCTAAATGCAGGTGCTTTCAGCCTCTTGACAATCCAGCATGCAATTGCTCTGGCTAGCACATTGAAGACCAGGTGCTGGGAGTCTGAAGGGCTTTTAGTGTCGCATAGGAGCCCATGTACATCGGTGTTACTTAGCAAACATTAGCAGCAGCAGTGCGATGAGAAGCCTGATAGCAGCAAATGTGCTGTAAGGGTCAAGAGGGGACAACCTCACCTTGAAGTCCTGCTGAAATTCCAGTTTAACCACTGAGGTATGAAAGTTGTACAAAGATGGAAAAGTGGGAGCAAGCTTAAACTCAGCTTTATTTTAGTGTCTAGAAATAACACTGGAAAGGTGTAGATTTTTAAATTACTTTGGCAATTAACACATATATTTGTATGCTGCCTTCCAATTCCTTCTCCACAGATCCAGATTTTAGAAACAGTTCTCATAGATATGAAAAACAGAAGTATTGTTAAGTATCTCCTCTGAAAGCTGGCTTGTCATATCTAAGACATGTAGTTTCCCTGTGCTAAAGCTGAGGCAGAATTAAGTGCTGAATGTTGCTTTATTTTCCCAGAAGGACCAAGATGTTTATTGCCCACTGCTAGCACTCCTGCAAGGCAGTGACAGGGCTAACTTGCTTTCCTCTCTTGCTCAGCCTCATGACTGACATTTTCTTGTCCTAGTTTAACAGGTATTTGCATTTTTTTCCAGTGGCTTTCCCGGCAGTATTCCCAAGTAGACTCTCAGGTAATCACGTGGAACCATGTGTGGTCAGTGCATTATTTAGCACTCTGCTAAGCAGCCTGGCTGGTGTGTGCTGCCTGGAGCAATTGCTGGGTAAAAATCACATGTGCAGGCCTAGGAATTACAAATTAAAGACAGTTTTCTAAGCATCTCTATAGACATTTGGGTGCCAAGATTTATTTTTTTTCTAAGGCTGTTTTCTGGGTTTTTTTAAATTTATAGACGTCACCTTAAAATTTTCCTGTGGGACAAGGGTGGCTGGAAACATTCTGCTATGTTTGTGACTGTGGAAGATGTACCATTTAGAGGACCACCAGATTCCCTACACTGTTCTGTCATGGCAGACAGTATTTTTGTGGAAGGGTACATGCTATTCCTTTAAATATGTAGCCTGGAGGAAATGAGAAAGAGTTCTTTGCTGAAACATTTATATGAAGCACTGTGACAGAGCAGCCAGGGAATATATTGCATGCTAATAAAGTTCCTTCTTCAGTGTGAAAAGTGAATGCTTTGTGAGTGACAGTGGGTCTTTTTTTACCTTTTGACATTCTAACTTGACCAATAATGAGGCATCCACCAGCATGCCTTTTCAGTCCTTTCCAAAGAGCTGCCACAACTAAAGAGACTTTTCTTTTGAGAATAATCTGTGACCCAGCAAGGTTGGCTGCAATGTTTGTTTGTTTTTCTCTCTACCGCTGGTTCCTACTATTCTTTTACTCCCACATCCTATCTGAGTCTTGTTTTGAAATGCATTCTTCAGCCTTCTCCTTCCTTACCTACTGCATCCTGTGTTCTGCTTTCTGACTTCCTTCTCTTTTCTTATAGCTTTTCTTTTCAGTTCCTTTTGATTCTGGTCCCCCAGGAACAAGGAGTGAAACATTAACAGTTGCTGAGTACCGAGCTAGTCTGGCTTTTGCTAGGAGTGTAGAGTTCAGGTGAGGGCTCTGGGAGACATGCTTTGTGTATGACACTGTGCCCTGGGGCCCTTGGCACCACTTCATTGCTGGAGTAGCAGAGAGGAATATATATCTGTGCTCCACCTGCTGTCATCTACAATCCAACATATAAGAGAAGAATATTGATAAAAGTTGATCTTTGCTAGGATATGGATGTTCCAGTTACTGCAAGTTAATTACCAGGCATCAGTTGCTCTGTTATTGCCACCTGGATGTGTGTCTCAATTATAAAAAGGAAGCTGAGAAGCTTCAGATTTAGGGTAAGCAAAGCAAATGGATTTGAATTATCTCGTGTCTTGATAGAGGATGTGGGGACTGTAGGTACAGTGAGAGTGGTTTGGAAAAAATACTATTTCATAGTAAATTCAGTGTGCATACCTGTGTCTTTCTAAGTCAGACTGCTGCTTTTACAATAAGGCTCTTTGATTGGTTGGGGTACATCCTTGTGTTATCTGTACCTCTTTCAGTTGAGGATCACTGGCCTCATAAATCTGTGCTTAGAACATCTGCAGGAACTTGCTATGTTGGTGTCAGCAGATCCTGAATATAAATCACAGGTGTAAAATAGTTCTATTACTCCATGTTGCATGACTAAGGCTGGGTAATGTATGACATTATTATCTTTCTAAGGAGACACCTAATTTGGATATATGGTGAGCTTTTATATTGTCTGAAAACGGAGCTTTAAGACCATACAGAGAAGCGCATTTTCTAGATGAGGTCAGCTATAGCCAAAGGTTTGACTAGTTTGGTCCTTGTGGTTCACCAAAAAAAATCCAGAGCCATCTACTAAATGAAATGCAGAAGAAGAAACCTTTTAGCATAATAAGCACTCTGCTGGAAAATTTATCTTCCTGCTAATTTCATATGCCAGTGATGCCCAGATGGTTATCGACTGTGTGCTGTAATCTTCTGTCCTGTTGGTTTGTTTGTAACCAGGATTGGTCTGTTTATATGTGGCTGCATATGGCAATTAGTTTAAATCTTTTACCTTATTTTACACATTTTTCTGTATGCAAGGCATAAAGAGGAATAAACCTTGCAAAACAAATTTGGTATAAATGGGTTAGTGAGTAGATAATACCTGTGCTGTTGGGATATTATATGCTTTTACCAACATCATACTAACAGAGAAATAAATGTAAGGAAATTAAAACCTGATGTATTTGTTATCTGTACATGTATAAAATGTTACTGTGTTTCAGACTTCTAGATAATTTTATGTATTTTTCATTTAACTTTTGTAATTCAAAATACTTGGTTTGGGAACACAACTATAGTAGTTTTTTCTTGAAGACTAAATAAAATTAATAAATTAATTATTAATTAATTTAAAAATAAGCTAAAATAAAGGTGATTTTAAAAATAGAGAGATACACACACAGATATATATATATACACATTTTAGTCTAACGCATCTCTTTTGTCTTGTTTCAGGTTGAAGAAACTTCTTGAGCAGGAAAAGATCTATCAAGCCCGGAAGGAGAAGGAGCATACCAAGAGAATCAATAAACTAAGAGAAGAACTAGTCAAGCTCAAATCATTTGCACTCATGCTGGTGGATGAAAGACAAATGCATATTGAACAACTTGGTCAACAAAGCCAGAAAATACAGGACTTAACCCAAAAACTAAAGGAAGAAGAAGAAAAGCTTAAAATTATTAGTGCGAAAACAAAAGAAGATGGACAAAAACTGATGAAATTAGAGGCAGAACTTGAACATAAAACATCATCATTTTGTCAAGAACATGAGGAGATGACTGCTAAACTGGCTAATCAAGAGTCACATAATAGACAACTAAGGCTCAAGCTAGTGGGGCTGACTCGCAGAATAGAGGAGCTAGAAGAAACTAACAAAAATCTTCAAAAGACTGAGGAGGAACTTCAAGAACTAAGAGATAAAATAGCGAAAGGGGAATGTGGGAACTCTAGCCTAATGGCAGAAGTGGAAAACCTCCGCAAGCGTGTGCTTGAAATGGAGGGGAAAGATGAAGAGATCACAAAAACCGAATCCCAATGCAAAGAGCTGAAAAATAAACTGCAAGAGGAAGAGCATCATAGCAAAGAGTTGAAACTTGAAGTGGAAAAACTGCAGGAAAGAATGTCAGAATTAGAGAAGCTGGAAGAGGCTTTCAGTAAAAGTAAGTCGGAATGCACTCAGCTACACTTAAACTTGGAGAAAGAAAAGAATTTGACTAAGGATTTGATAAATGAGTTGGAAGTGGTGAAGACTCGAGTGAAGGACCTTGAGACATCCGAAAGCAAGTTGGAAAAGGCTGAAATAAGCTTAAAAGATGACCTTACAAAGCTGAAGTCATTTACTGTAATGTTGGTTGATGAGCGAAAAAATATGATGGAAAAAATAAAACAGGAGGAAAAAAAGGTTGAGGGCCTAAACAAGAATTTTAAAGTTGAACAAGGGAAAGTTATGGATGTAACAGAGAAATTGATAGAAGAAAGTAAGAAATTTTTGAAACTGAAATCTGAAATGGAGGAAAAAGTATCTAGTTTGACAAAGGAAAGGGATGAGTTAATTGGCAAACTGAGAAGTGAAGAAGAAAAATCATCTGAATTAAGCTGTAGAGTTGACCTATTGAAGAAAAAAATTGATGGTATGGAGGAAGTAGAAAGAGAAATTACAAGAGGTCGAACTAGGAAAGGAGCAGAGCATGGTTGTCATGAGGACAACAAGATTAAGGAACTTACCATTGAAATAGAAAGATTGAAAAAACGTCTCAAACAACTGGAAGTGGTTGAAGGAGATTTGATGAAGACTGAAGATGAGTATGATCAGCTAGAGCAGAAATTTAGGACTGAGCAGGATAAAGCTAATTTTCTTTCTCAACAATTGGAGGAGATGAAACTCCAGATTGCCAAAACGAAAGCAATAGAAAAAGGTGAAGTGGTGAGCCAGGAGGCAGAGCTGAGACACAGGTTTCGTCTGGAAGAGGCCAAAAGTAGAGATTTGAAAGCAGAAGTTCAAGCACTTAAGGAAAAAATCCATGAGCTCATGAACAAAGAAGACCAGCTTTCTCAGCTCCAAGTTGATTATTCAGTTCTACAGCAAAGGTTTATGGAAGAGGAAAACAAAAACAAGAGCATGGGACAGGAAGTTTTGAACCTAACAAGAGAGCTGGAGCTTTCTAAGCGTTACAGCCGCGCTTTGAGGCCCAGCATGAATGGAAGAAGAATGGTTGATGTTCCTCTGACGTCCACCGGCGTGCAGACAGATGCTCTAAGCAATGAAGCAGCAGAAGAAGAAACTCCAGCGGTGTTCATAAGGAAATCCTTCCAGGAGGAGAATCATATCATGAGCAATCTGCGACAGGTAGGTCTGAAAAAACCCATGGAACGTTCTTCAGTGCTTGAGAGATATCCTCCGGCAGCAAATGAGCTTGCTATGAGGAAATCCTGGATACCATGGATGAAAAAGAGGGAAACTGGGGCTCATACAGCTCCTGATAAAGGAGCCCGAACCCATAGTAGTCCAGCACATCCCGGGGAGGTTGTCCTTTCACCAAAGCAAGGTCAACCTCTTCATATTCGGGTGACACCAGACCATGAGAACAGTACAGCAACTTTGGAGATAACCAGTCCATCCGCAGAGGAATTTTTTTCAAGTACCACTGTCATTCCTACTTTGGGAAATCAGAAGCCACGAATAACCATCATTCCCTCTCCAAATGTTTTGCCACAAAAAGGAAAAGGCAGTGAAAGTCCCATGGGCCCAGATCGTTCCATGTCTCCAGTCACTATAACAACATTCTCCAGGGAAAAGTCCCCAGAGGGAGGGAGGGCACCCTTCGCTGACAGACCTGCATCGCCAATTCAGATCATGACAGTATCGACGTCTGCAGCGCCAGCAGAAATCTCTGTCTCTCCGCAGTCACAAGATATGACCATGGGCAGGGCTGTTTTCAAAGTCACACCAGAAAAGCAAACTGTCCCGACTCCAATCCGCAAGTACAATGCCAATGCCAACATTATTACAACAGAAGACAACAAAATCCACATCCACTTGGGTTCCCAGTTTAAACGTTCTCCCAGTGCCACGCCTGACGGCGCGAGCCCCGTGATAACAGTCCGACCGGTGAACATCGCGGCAGAGAAAGAGGTGGTGACTGGTACTGTCCTTCGATCACCTCGGAACAACCTGTCCCCGCGACCTGCAGCCGCCAGCAAGGTGACAAGTACTATCACCATAACGCCTGTTACAACATCTTCCACTCGAGGAACACAATCAGTGGTAAGCACTGTGGTCTCATGGTATGGTCTTCATGGTAGGGTAAAGGACAAACCATAGCTCAGGTTTGAGACACCAGCAGGAAAAATGGGAGAGGTGAGGAGAAATTCTTGTCTTCCCTACATTTCTGCCGTGCTCAAGCTTAATTATATAATCAGAATTTGCCCAATTCATGTATTTTTGTACCAATGTTGGATGCTGGTACACTTTTGGTATTATCTCCCAAAGCAGTTAACTTCCAGAACACTCTTCAAAGCTATTTTCATAATGGCAACCCAGCAAAATTACAAGTGAGAGACAGAGGGACAAAGAATGGTGGGCATGACAGAGCAGGAAACTATATTTTTATTGCAATGAGTGCAATATCTAAATTTTGAAAATACACCTCATTTTTGTTGGCTCAGCTGGCAAGTCTTTGGACTCTAATTATGCAGGCTGGCATTTCTTTGATATAATCTCATGATCCCCATATAATTCAGTTAATATCTGCTATATTACTGAGCTCCAAATGAAAAAATAAGCAGATGTGTTATCACTGCTTACAGCTCCAAGCCTCTTTAGCCAGTGAATAGTAGAGCTCTTTCTGTTCCTCTGAACTTCTCTAAGTGCTGTATTACAATAGAGCTTCCTGTAGCATATTGTTTTTGCTTTCTCTTTGGGCTCCCATGGTTGTACTCCAGTTTCTTTTTCACAGTGAAAGACTTGTCACCTCTATCTTTAATCATAGTGGGCAGTATTTATTCATAGTCCTCCCCTAGTTTATTACTGGACATACATTTTTATTGCTTGAGTAGGAAATACCCTGGGAAAGAATCTAACCAGAACAGAAAACCAACAGTACTGTATTAGTCCAAAAACTTACTTAACTAGACAGAGTCTGCAACAGATGCTTAGGGGAAGATTATTTTGAGTGGGTAAACACACAGTAATGTTTCCCTCAGTGTCTGTTCCCAGTTTTTGGCAATAGGTGGGTATTTCTCTGTGAACCAGAGCCTGTGGCCACATCTTTGTCTTTAATAGACCATGGCAGAGTTTTCTTCTATTTATTCATTTAATTGCTTTTTGAACTCATTTACACTGTTGTCTCCACAACATCAGGGGGCAGTGAATTCAGCTGTGGGCTTTGGGAAAAGCTCTTTTGTTTGATACCTTTTATGAAATACCTTCATTGCTTACAGCCTTTTTCTTCTATCTTGACAAATATTGAATAGTCATCCCCTACTCATTTGTCCGTGCTGCTCGGGAGTCAGCAGAGCCCTACAACACACCTCATCAGCCATCTCTTCCCAAGCTGAAATGTCGATGTGTATTTAGGATACACTTTCACACTTCTGGAGAGAAGCTGCCATTCCCATTTAAGGCCTCTGAATTAAGAAAGCTTGCATTCATTACACAGATCGGTTTGGGATCACACATGCGCTTGCTCTCTCTTCCCACCTATATAATGTATTGTAGATAATTTATTATACAGTGTTTCCTTACATATTAGAGGCAACTGTTCATTTTTTCAAGCCTTGAATTAATTTACTAACTCCTTTGTCTCTCAGAAGCCTGGAAAACTTTTTTTTAAACTTTTTCTTTTAACTAGATGTCTGTCTCTACTGTCATGATGCAGTGAACCATGGCAGACAAAACTTTTTTTTTTTTTTTTTTTTTTTCTTTTCTGGCTAAAAACTGGATTCTTTCTTCTTTATCCTCCCTGATTGGGAATGTAAGGAAAATAGTTCAGCCATAAGATTTACTTTATCTTATGCTTCCTTTTGTTTTTTAATATCCCTAGTCAGCTGAGCAGGCAACTTTTAACAAGCTCAAATGTGTCTTTTCCTCCCAGGCCTCTTGGAAAGGAAAAAAAGTGTACTCACCATCTGTTTTGCAAATGACAACTTTACAAACACACTCCACTGCCCCTAGTCAGAAAACCGAAGCTGTGATCATTTACTCAGTAACCCCAGACAAAACCAACAGATACAATTTTGAGGGTTTAAGTTAATAAAATCAAACAAGACAAACTGATATGCAGCTGCTTTCTTAGCTCATTGGTTTTAATTTTTGTCTTAACTGTCCTCACACAAGATGCTTTGTACAATGTATTAACGCCTTTTTTATGGCAGCCTATGGATTTGGATAGTTCCCATAGAAACAGAAAAAATGGTGTTTAATCATCCTTAGCTTGATTAGAATCAAACTCACTCCCAGGAAAATACTTGGACTATCCTAGCAGACCTAGGATATGATTTTTTTTATTGAAAATGGATCAAAGAGACCAGAACATATAGAGATGAAAACGAGCCTGCTTGTTAGTCTTCCCTTAGCACATTGCCACACATTTCTGTTCCCAGGATAGTTCATATAGTTTGCAGGAAAAAAATCCCACAGAATAAACCCAAGTATTCTTTGTGAAAAAAACCCAAAACAGTGGTGCCTACATCCTGTTTGACTTAGGCCTTACATTTGATTATGTGGCTTCTTTGGCTACCATGATGGGTGTCAGTCCTATAATCACTTAATCCCTGTGCTCCCCTCCTCCTACAAGCCTGGCACTGAGTGCCATCTGTTTATGCTGCCAGGGTATGCACTGACTCCAGCGCCATGCAAATCGGCAGGGAGCAGAGGGAATCCCGGCTGCAGCAGAGCCAGCACGGTGGCACCGCACCAACCATGCAGGGCATCCTGTGACCACGGCAGGAAGGCCCAGCTGAGAAGCTGCTAGGTGCCAGAGCGAAGGGGACAAGTGTTTATGCAGCTGTAAGGCCACTTGCAATTGGACAGCATTTGAGTTTGAGATTGGCATCTAAATGTAGCTCTGTGTAGGTGTCCCATTTCTGCTCTGAGCTGCTCCTGGAGCTCCTGGAGTTGCAGGGGGCAGCTCAGCTGCCTGTGCAGAGGTGTTGTGGTGCTGGCTGTGTGCTTGTGGCAACTGAGACGTGTGTGAGGCTGGGAGGGATAACCCACCCGTACCTTTCTGCAGTGGCAGCTGATGGGACACCTCAGGTGGCACGAGAAGCATCAGTGTGGGCAACTGAGTCAATCTGTAGTCATCAGTCCTCATGGCAGCACTGAGGCATGTGTGTTGGCCTGAGATGACTGGGGGATGATCCAGCTGAGACAGGGCTAGCTTCTGTGTGAGCTGAATTGCCCACTGGCTCTGCTGACTATATTGACTAGATCTCAAGTCCCACTCTTTGAGGATAAAGTTACCTAAACATACTTTATTTTAGTGCTATTTTCAGTGCTGTCAAGTAGTCTACCTACCTTCCAGCTGCTTTATCAAAAGTTTTAGGTCCCCTCGGGTCATCTGTCTTGTCTGCCAGCCCTGTGTACATTGCTTGAGTAGCCCAGGGCATTTCAAATTGCACAAGGTGTCTTTTGGTCACTGAACTGAACCATTTCTGTCCAGGGCAAGCAGGGGCCTGATCGGATTGAGAACAAAGGCTGAAAAAACATTTTTTACTTAAAATATTCCAGAAGCCAGTATGTGCATGAAAGCATTCTCTTTGTGCGTCAATAAAATGCACCAAGCCGGATTTGTTACAAACTACTCACACATGCTACATGTTCTGTATGTTCAGTTTGCTTTTTTCCTTTAATGGGACTGCCCAGCCTTACTGCAACTTCACAGGTCAATGCACCTGTGTCTGCAGTGAGAGCTGATGATGACTGCACCATAGCAGCTGCATGTGTTCATCTCACTCTCAGTAATGTCTTGTGTAACCTCACTGGGTCCCTGTTCCAGCACCATGTCTTGCCTTGCCAGCTCAGATCCAGCATGCATTACCCGGTGTCTCACGGGGTCTCAGGCACTCTAATCCTGCTGTGTAAGGGTTAGTTTCTGGCTGGAGCCACGTTCCAACCAGACCAACCAGAAGACAGCAGCCTGCAGACAAACAGCTGGAAGGAATGGCTTTGAGTTCTTGGAAGAAATGATGGAGAGACAGGCAGTGGTGTGGGTTCTCTGCCACAGATGCTACAGACTGGATGTGTTCTCTGCTTGCTGCCCCTTCCATTGCCCAAGGGGACAGCGGCTGGGGAGGCACCTTTGTGCCATCTCACTTGGCAAACACAAAATGCTTTTGCAGCTGCCTGGGAAGCAGGCATTAGATTCCATGTGATCAACACGTTAGTATGCTGGAATGAAGGCAACTAAAAAATTTAAAGCAAGTTAGAGTTCTTTTCAAAGTGCTTTTGAGTGATTTAGGCTTGAAATTAGTAACTTGAAAGGGCCCAAATCCTTAGTTAATAATTTACATGTGAATAAAGCTGAATAAATGCCTGAGATTCCAGCTACTCCATTTGATTGCCTCATGTTTACTCACTGTGGGACTCTTTCAGGGAGTACAAGATGTTTGTCATTTGGGTCCCCTGGGATGTTGACATATTTTCCAAGGCTGATGGAATGCATTTGCATGTTTTGCCCTACAGAATTGTATGCGCCTAACTTGTTTTGACATCTACATGTGAGTTCCATATTAGCGTTTAGACTACTATTGTAAATGTTGCTTTTAGTTATTGAAAATGGCTTCCTTCCTGTCAGGCAGACAGCATTCAAGTTTTCCAATTGTGATTTTTTTGAGTGTACACATGGGGTTTTGAACTGTTCTTAGAAGATTAAGGAATGGTTTTCCTTTGCATGTTCAGGACGCAGACAGAAAGCTCTGATGCCACTGGCTGAAAAACATTTGTAGAGCATTTTTAAGTATACAAAAGTTTGTTGTATCTGACATGGGCCCCCAATCCAGTCTATTTCAGCAGTTAATTTTTACTTTGCTTATATGTCATAAGTTGCAGAGTTTAGTCATTTAGCAGGAAGGTCTAGCTAGCATTCCAGGATTTTAGGAGAATTGTTCTCTTTTGTCAGATCAAAGTCTTAATCTATAATCTGAACAGAAATGTCAGTCATGTAGGAAATTTAGCCAAGAGACTGAAGTTGTTGCCATTATCATTTGTATCTGTATTACACACTGCAGGAGATAAAGCCTGTTTTCCTTCCAGAATTGTCAAGTTTATAAGTATTTTCTTAAATATAAGAAAATACTTATATGGTTCATATGGGGTAGCTCCAGATTTGACCTTGAAGAGTATGTGCATCATTATCTGGCCAAAGCTATGGAATAGTTTTGGCCTGGTCTCCACTTGGGGCTCCAGAAGGACACAGGAGCTGTGTTGGTTCTGCCAACCCCGAGCCAACCACTTTGGCTGTTTTTTTTGGGTTTTTTTTTTTTTAATTCTGAAGTACTCAAACTTGAGAATAAGTGTGCTTGCTAGGCTGTTGTCCAGGGCAGAAGACTGGCAGAGATAGTAAAATGGCCATGTGCACACTGCCTTGAGGTATCCTTGGAAATCTGGGTGAGCAGCTTCACCCTCACTAGAGTTTCTCAAGTGATGATTTGTGCTTGGACTGTGAGAACCCTTTCCCTCATCCCTCCTGCCATAGCCACAGGAAAAGGAAATACAAATATTTTCTATTTTCTTTCTCTCCCAACCCCCTGCTCTTCCCAGTGCAGACATAAGTGGCCCCAGCCATGAGCTTAGCATACTTTGGGAAGTAAAATTCAATTTTATTTACAATGCTGAGTGATCGTGCCCCAGCTCCTAAAATTTGGCAGTTACCCTGCATTCATCATTAGCCTTACCTGACTATGCTGTTTTGAAGACCTGTCCTAGTGTCTGTGCTAGTCTATTAGCAAGATGCTAATATTTTGCCTGTCCTGACAGCCAAGCAAATGTTGTAGTTGCCTCTAAGGCCATCCTGCACTTTGTCATGCTGGAGAATGGGAGATTTGCACAAATTCCCATCCTTGTGACATTGATTCAAAACACTACACCTCACCTCTGGGAAATTCGTTTGAATTCTAGCAGTATGTGCCATAGCCAGATTCCAAGTGTGAATATTACTTTGCTAATAGGTGTGATTTGGGATGTTGTTGTTTGAAAGGTAAATGAAGAACCAAAGAAAAGTATAAGATGAACATGTATGAGAAGAAGTCCTTAATGTGTGGCATTTTTCTCTGTCTCTCTGTTTTGCAGACAGGACAGGATGGGTCATCCCCGAGACCTACACCCACCCGAATTCCTGTGTCAAAAGGTATGAAAGCAGGAAAGCCAGTAGTGGCAGCCCCAGGAGCAGGAAATGTGACAAAATTCGAGCCTCGTGCTGAGACTCAGTCTATGAAAATAGAACTGAAGAAATCTTCAGCCAGCAGCTCTGCCTCCCTGGGCGGGGGTCAGGGCTGATGGCAGTGGCTCAGGGGGTACGTTTTGCAGGTTTTACTGCTGCCATGGAAGTCAGTTCCCCTGTCTGTGTAGTTATTCACGTTTGCCTGTACTAGCAGCTGTCACTTAACAACAAACTAATAAGTGTGTGCACTGACTACTTAAATAACAAAATACTTTTGTTTTCTTACTCAAGTTAAAAAAAAAAAAAAAATGCTGTCAAAAAGGCAATTTTATGCCAGGAGGGTTTTCTGTCTAGGAAGTGAGAATGAGGTAACTGCACTAGATTATTAATCTAGTTCAGGAATTCTTAATGATAGACTTGGTCACTTTTTAGTAGATCAAAGGAGGTTTGGTCACTTTTACTAGATTGTTTTCCACCTTAATGGATCACTTTTCACCTTTGCTGCTGCACGGTCTGCTTTCCTTCCTGCCTTGATCACATTGTTGAAATGCCACACGGCCTAGGGAAGCAATGCCAGAAGACTTGCCATGCGCACTTGAGGTCCTGTTTTAATGAAAGCCAGTACCTCGTGTGTGGGAGGGGAAGAGAGGAAGGATGGGCACCATGTGGCCTTCTCTCTAGGAGCCTCCAATCAAAATCACTATTTCTCAGTGGTGAGCTGCTTTCTCAAGATAACTATCTAAATTCAGGGGCATAGGGATGTTGCACAATGTTTTTCAGCAATTAATTCTTCCAGAAGAGTTAACATTTGTAGACAACACTTAGAACCAGGTCCCTGACTTACAAACACTGGAATACTGCTAGCTCAGGGCTCAGATGAAGGCTTGTGAGCCAGAAGGTGTTTAGTCCTCAGCAAAAGCTTGAGAAACACTAGCTGGCAAAAATTAATACAATTCATTTGTGCCTGCTCCAAAGACCACTAAAGGCTATGAAGCAACTCATTCCATTGGTTTTCGGTTTTCCTGATTGGGTCTTATGTTTAAACCTTACTTGCCAAGCATCCTTATGTCTTAGAGGCTAAGTCAGCACAGCCTGATGGTAGCAGGAATTGCTATCTAAAGGCATAGCTCAGGTACAGATAGTGAAAGAGAGAGGGTTTGGTAAGGAAATTACTCTCAGTTTTCCGTTGTTTTAAAATATTTTGTCATAAAATGCAGACCACCTTACAATACCATGATGATTCATCATTTTTCCTTCCCTCTTTGTGATTTCCTCATCTGTATGTTTGCATTTTTTTAAGCATGTTTTAAGAAATTTTTCCAGCATGGAAATACTGTGGATGCTGATGATTGTTATGATTATTTTTTAATAACAGTAGAGTTATTAAAACGCATTTCCATTAAGCGGTCAATTTTCACAGAAGAAAGTCGGAACCAAAAGAAATGAAGCTGACCAGAACAATAAATGATGGGTTTAAAGCGGTATAATGCTTCAACCACCTCAGCAAGTTATGAAGGGTCCAGTGGTTAAAACAGAAAGCAAGGTGGTCAGACCACCAATAAATTATAAACGAAATTCACAGAAAGGAAAATGCACTGGTGGGTGAAATATGAAATTTGGCCTGGGAGAAGATATTTGATGGAAGAACTCTGTCACTGAACGTCAACAAAATTCTATTCAATCCAAGTAATGTTTAGTTTTCCATCTGCTTTGCATTGCTCTCCAATGTCAGACCCAATATTTACAATTATCCCATTGTAAAGCGGCATTTTATTATTCACATAAAGGGCATTTTTTCTTTGCCACATAAAAAAAAGTAGGTTTTAGTTTTTTACATGTGTAGCACCTAAAATGCCTGTTAATTTTAAGGTTCTAGTTCCTATGACATTCAAAAATCAGATTAGTATTAGTAGCATTATTTCATAACGTGTATTTCCAGCACTTCAGATAAAACTTGGAAACTGGAATTAGCAAGCAATGTGAGTTAATATGTCAGAAATACATCTGATCCTCTCAAGGAATTCTTATCACTTAAAAGCCTCAGTATGTCAATAAAATGTTGCTGAGATCTTACTGTTCTTTTTGTAACACAGACTTTTAAACAGATATTTCAAGGAGAAAAATGTCTTTTTTCTGCATATTCAATTTAAATACTGTTACTGAAGGAAGCTGTAAGGTCAAAACAGTCAAATAATACTGCAAACATGATCCCCAAGCCAATGTAGCTTGATACAGCTGCCTAAAGCCTTCCTTGTGTCAAAAAAACTTAGTTCCTTAGTTAACTGTCACCATACTCAATATTCTATGTGTGCCTGTTGTTGAAAATTTTGGTTTTGTTTGAAGTCTAAGAAACTAATTCATCTGAAAAAACAAGCCAGCCTCACAGTACCTGAAATCTAGGGCACACAGACTGGCACAGTTAGAGCCAGAATTGCAGGCAGGAGTTGCTCCTGGAGAGTCAGTAGGATTAGATGAGACAGGCTTCCGAAATTCCAGAGAGGTCAGACTTAGGATCCTGTTATTTTTCCCCAGGGGCTGCACAACAAAACAAGACTTTTGCTCTGCAGCAGAAGTCTAAAGAGTTGGAATCAGGCAGCTGGTTAAACTGTTATCTAAAACCAGGTATTTTGTTATACTCAAATCTTTTGACATCTGTTTTAATTGATCTAATATTCTTGTTTCCTGAAGGTAGAAGAAGGGTAAGATGAAGAGAAAAGAAAGCCTATAGTTCAGAAGTCTTAAAAGTTCAAGCCTATTTGTGTTACACTGAAATTTCCTCTGAATCTGAAGACAGTTATGTTTAGTGACTACAGTAAGATTCTCCATTCAGTAGGTCAGCTCCAAAAGGCAATTTAAACAACCAAATCTAAAAACAATGCATAAGCCCAAGAGGCATCCTTAAGATCTTCCTGATGTTCTTCCACAGACCTTATCTAGCCAGTGTTTCTGTTACAAGTTAAATGTAGCACTGCAGCCACTGTACTTCACACAGATCCATAATGCAGGTATTCTTGTATTTCCTCTGAGGCTTTTAAGTCAAGTCACAATTTTATGGTCACTTAAAGTCAGGATATAACTTCACACTGGGCTGAAAAGCTGTACTCCTGGCTTTGTCACCTACAGCCAAGAAAGTACTCACTGACTATGTGGTTGTCCTTTGAACTGGTGCAAGTGTTTGAATTTAACCGGGGAACTGATCTGAATTAAAAGGAATCCGGCAAAAAAAAAAAGCTAAAGGTTGGGTTTAATGTAACTTAGTGCTCGACTCACAGGCCAGAAAAAGAAAGAAGGAGGGCACAAGGAAACCAGTTGGCTTTTTAGAGTGACTGTAGGATCATGAATGCCTTCTAATAGATCAAATACCACACAAACGCTGGGGTAGTGCTGCTTATTTTCAAAAGCTTTTGATTGAAACCTTTATTCAAAGGTAGGAGACAGTATCTGAGGAGACTCAAACCCACATCAGTTGCAGGCAGGTTCACTAGTGGCACTGACAGCTGAGGAGGAAGAAGGTGTCATTCTCATTCCCTCCTGGAAAGGCTGTGCTGTTCTGCATGGAGTGCTTCAGTATTCACTGAGCAGAAACAAGGGAGTGGTTGAGGGGTCAGGATATTGAACTAGGAAGGAGGCCCCTCCAGATGTGTGTCCCTGTTCCGAAGGCTGCCTTTGAGCCTGGTCTGGTTGAAAAGGAGGCTTATAAGATGAAGTGTCTGTGTTCATCCATCCTTCCATCTCTCCTTCCCTAATGAATAACACTAAACAACCAATTTCATGCAAACCTGACAGAGCCATAGGGATCTCCAGAATAAGAAGTTTTTCCAGATTAATGAAAAGGATGGCAGAGAAGAGGAGCAAGACCTTAGCAGTGTCTCACTGTGTGGAAGAGCAGGGCATGAGCTCACCTTCATACAGGATCAAAGAATGAACACAAGAGTGATGTCACAAATGCCACAAGGACAAGCTTTGTCCAGACCTCAATTTTTACCATGCACCAAAGAATCAAACTCTGACACATCAATCCAAAGGATAATATTAGGGATTTACAGGGCATATGTTTATTCTCCATTACTGGATTATAGTGCATAATAAACTAAGCCTTCCTAAATGATCATTTGGAGTCGCTCATCCTCATGCTTTCTCTCTCTTAACTTTTTTTGGTCATTTTATTTGGGTTTTTTTTTTTTTTTTGGTTTTTGTAATGAAGTGGAACAATTCAAGTAGCAAAATAATGCACTCAGAATCATAATGATAGTTAGAATGCTTTGTAAGAAACTAAGATGACTGTGTAATCTTTGTACTTTTAGTCATAATCAATGTCAGCTGGAGAGAAGCCCTGTTTTGGCTGATGACATGGCCATATAAGCAGTTGTGATAACTCAAGCCCAGCAGTAGTAATGCATGGCTTAGCCCCAGCAGTAAGGTGGAGAGGGTGAATAGCAGGGAAGATTCCAGCCCATTCATGAGCAGCACACATGGACTGAGAAGGTGCTCCCTCAGTTCTCCAGATGATCTCTCTGATTTTAAGTCTAGTTCCTAACAAGTTTTCTACTGTGTTCCCTCAGTTAGATCCCATTGCCTGACTTACTGCTACATAGGGGTATTGCTAATGTAGTCATCAGTAGATACATACATTTGAGTGTGACTGAAAAAGGAGTACAGAGCTTCAACTGTAATGCCTAGAGGGATTTCTCTCAGAATAGCAAACATCCTAAGCAAATGGTAGAAGAAAAATAGAGATTTTTATTTACTTTGGTTACCGTTTTTTCTTTTGTGACACCCGTTAGTGTGATTTTTGAAAACCCAAACACTTTGTGACTCTTTGTAATATGCCCATAGAGTACACGTCACTGTATTTAAACCTCAAACCACTTACAGCACATAGTAATTGCCACCATGTGAGTAATCTCAAAAGCCACATTAATATCTTGATCCATGCCAACAGGATGCCAAGTCATATGTCACTGCTTGAAATATGCCATGCAGATTCTAAAATATTCTCAATATTTACATGAATATTCAGTAATGTTTATATGAATATTTAGTAATTCTGATCAGATGTGGAAGAGCAGGTCTGTAATAAAGTAAGCTACTATCCTGCTGGGTTTCAGGTACTTGGCATAAGCTGCAACAGTCAGGACAATTTTCAGACCAATTATATGTTCCCATCACACATCAGTGGCCAATTTCATTGAGTTGCTTTGAAACACAGTTTGCTGGCAGGAGTTTTTGTGAGCTCATCTTTTGAACTTGCTTTCATTTAGGAGAATGGTTTTCTCCTCTCTGTCAGTGTGAGTTATCCTCTTTCTCTTAATTTTGCTTGAGCTCTCTTGGCCAAAATTATATGCAATATTTTTCATTATAGATATTAATTTCACTTTGAATCTTACTCTCTACACATTGCTCTTACCTTGTTTTTTTTTTTTCTTAAAATGTAAGCAGGGTTAACTAGTGTCATGTGCAGAGCTATCAGCTCTCGGGTATGAAACACTCAGGTGTGAATGGTTCCCTAAACAAAAAAAAAACCAAAACAACCCTCCCCTTGGGATTTTAAAAACAGAAATACTGATGTATGATTCTCTTCTGTTGCTTGGGTGTGCATTGTCTGTGGTACATTCATTTTTGTATTATCTGGTGATACTTGTATATATTGTAAGGAGAAATTAAACTTTATGTGTTAAAATGTCACTTGATGTGCTTCATTATATGAACTAGTATCCTGATGTGCTTCCTCAAGAAGTTCTGCTTTACATCAGTAGGACTGAAAGCAGAATTAGCTGTTTTACATTAACTTCATTTTCTTCTTCTGTCATTAAAATAAATTGTTCTGTTTAAGTGGATACTTAGCTCCTTGAAATATTCCAATCTGGAACCCTAGAAAAAAATTTATTTAATCATATCTTTAAAATAGAATCATATTCCTACGGAGGGTGGCCCAGAAGAGCTCTCACAAAATCAGCCCTACTCTAATTTTACCTTAGTAACTGTTCAGACACCTCTTTTAGTAACTACACGTGTGTGTGTGTACATAATATATATATTCATACAGAGCAGGATATTTTTCTGCTGCCCATTTTTTAGATTTTTGTGTCTAAACTCCTTATTAAATATGCACAGTGAATATTAAGAAAATATTTTTTAAATAGTATTTTTATTATTAAGAAAATAATATGTAAATGTAGCTTTTAACATCATATTCCACGAGAGCTTCAAGTTAGAACAGCACTGGCTGTAAGGTGAAATCATGCAGTAAGTTTGTGTTGGAACCAATGTAAATTTCTTGTTGAAAATAATTTGTTATTGATAAATTGGATGGAAAATAAATACTTTCAGTTCGGGAAATTCTATTATTTAATTTGCCTTAACATATTTTATTGGACGTTGCCTCAGCCCTTCTCTTGCTTCACCACGTAAGAAAAGCAGCACTGGGGTCTGCCATCTAGTGGCAAAGTTCTGGCCGTAAGAGTACATGGAAAATATTTTTATTTTTCTTTCTTCTTAGAATGTAACTTGCAAATATTGAGAATAGTTAAGAAGCAGATAAAGGCAAAAATAAATAAAAATGTAAAAGGCAAAAATTATATCAATAGCGTCATTTCTTGGGCCCTATAAATTTTGAAAAATCTTCAGACTATTAAGAAAGGAAGGTAACAAAAGTAATTTCAATTAAGATGAATATTTCTGAAGATTTATAACTGTATGCTTTAATTAGTATTGGTACAGTTACATTATTTTAAATACATAAAATCCTCCTTTTCACAGAAAAATTTTAACTGACAGTTAGATTCTTGTATTAAAAAAGTTGGCAGTAAGAGCTGTATATATAGGTAGAAGAACAGAAGACCAGGCCATTAGTACTTCAGCAGAGCTCAGGGATTAATCAGGGACAGGGACCTGTGGTACTACACACAGGGAAAAATTAAATCCAGCCTTTTAAAGAAAATGCCAACACATAGTTTTGCATGCTGTGGCTGAAATTCATCTCCATTAAAATTCAAGAAGCAAAATTCAAGAAGACTCGCTGAATAAACACAGCATAGGTTTCTAAACCAAGTTTAAATTTAAAAAAATGAGAAATGACCCCATACCTCTTCCTCATCCCTATTGATGAATTGCTACCAGATTTATGATGAAGTTGCTTAGACAAGATATTAGATGCCCAACTCCAAGTCTTTCTCTGCCTAGTTTGGATGTGGAACTGGAACTTTGGTGTCCCTCTGCTTTAATCCATTCAACTGTATTACTCCCTTTTTTCTTATGGACAACCAAACTATGGTCTTGACATTGAAGTGGAAGCCAAGGCCTTCTGAGCCCTTGACAGGTACTAATTTAGTTTCCCTTTGTAGCATTAGCCAGGATAGTTTTGTCAAGCAGTGATGTGAGAGTGAGTTTGTGAGACTTTTTTAGAAAAATGCCTTGCACTGCCATTGTAACTGTTCTTTCAAGTAAGCATCTGTAGTTTCATAAACACGAATGTTTTGCTCTCTTTTCTTTTAGAGAGTGTCATCATTCACCAGTTACGCGTGAACTCTAGATGAGTTACCGCCCGCTAGAGCTCTCTGTGTGCACTACCCTCCATGCCTGTGGATGGACCACTGTAGAAGCTCTCTGCCATCAACACCAGGGTCACTTGTGCTACTGATTATTTGTGGAAGTATTAATGCTTCCATTAGGTTTTATATATAATTTTTTTCTTGGTAGAGCTTTAAAAACCAATGGCCTTGCTGGTATTTTAAAAGTATCTAATCAGAGAGAGAGCAGCAGTCTTTCTGCCAGCTGAATTTCACTCTTAATTGCAAAGCCCAAGGCACATGCTTGATTTTGTTTGATATTTGCCATATAATTTATTTTTATAATACACTTTGTAAAGTAGCTGTGCCAAAGTTGCAATTCCTGTTGCTTGTGATGCATTTATTTGTAGAATACACTGTCAAATTTGCAATTTGATATTTTTGTAATAGAGAGTATGCGAAGAAAGAAAATGTAACTTCAGCAATGTTTTCTGTTTATATGGAGAAGTATTCAGTATGCCACCATGAGATTCTGTGAGACTAAATACTCTGAAGACTGCTGTATGGAATTTGTTGCAGAATATTTCTTGCACTGTGTGATGGTTTGGCATAAAATTAAGTATTAAAGTCCAATGCCTTGAAATACAACCAAATTTACTCATTTTAAACTATGTAAGTCAGTTTTTAAAGCTGTGATTTTTTTCTATATAAAGTATGTTTTTACTTTTGCCTGTACCAAAAAAAGTTGATTTTCATTACACTGTAACTAATAAATGTTCACAACTATGCAAATGTAAATGTAGGTGTTTGCATTTCAGCTCCAGTTTCTTAAGGATGGCAGTACTCACCTATATATTTGTTTATGGGGACAGAATATGGGTTAGGAAGTTCCTTTTTCTGACTGGTGTCTCATACAGTGTCACAGTGATGTACAGGGTGAAACTGATTCATAGAATCACAGAATGGTTTCGGTTGGTAGGCCCTTACAGATCATGTAGTTCCAGTCCCCCTGCCATGGGCAGGAACGCCTTCCACTAGATCAAGTTTCTCAAAGCTCCATCCAGCCTGGCCTTGAACACTTCCAGCAAAGCTGCTCAACAGCTTCTCTGGGTATTTTGTTCCAGTGTCTCACAACCCTCAAAGTGAAGAATTTCTTCCCAGTATCTAATCTAAACCTACTGTCTTTCAGTTTGAAGCCATTCCTCCTTGTCCTGTCACCACATGCCCATGCAACTCTCTCCATCTTTCTTGTAGGCTCAGAAGTTAAGATATGGAGATGGATCAATCTCCAAGCCCTTCATGACTTAATTGTTTCTAACCTTGTGCTTTCACAGCACAGGCAGAGATGTTTGACTGGTACTGTCAGAATCTTTGGTCCTGGACCAGCACCTGGACTAGACACCAGGCACTCTGCCATGTGCTCAGGGGCCCCTTTTACACTGGTGGCTGTAGCTTCTCAAATAGCATCCAGAGAGTTCTGTGGCAGCTATACTTAGGGTGATTTTTGAATGCATGATAAATAAAGCTACATGAAATCCAGGCAGGGTCTTTTTTTCTTTTACATTTCATAACCAATGATTTTTAATCTAAGTCATTGGCACATACTTAAAATACTTCAGATTTTTAACTGCAGAAGCTACTGGGAGAAATTACTTTTTTGGAAAGGAAAAGTGTTGCTTGCAGGAGATGTGCTGTGAGATGCCAGAAAGACTGCATTAATGCAGCATCCCACTGGGATGGTTAGGTTGGTCCATCTTTGAAGTTGGAATATCACATGGCTACATAGTCAATTTGGTCTTCATGGGACCCACAGGAGCTGTTTCTCCTTTTACATATGAGTTCTGTAGCAAATGCTGACACTCTAGAGAAGCAGGATATTCTGGGACCTGTATGAACTTTTGTGGAGTTGATCTCCATTGTGAAGAGTTTACTAATACAGCTATAGAGACGAATCAAAATTAAGTGCTGCTTATCCTGGTGGAAGAGAAATTTTGTTGGTATAGCTTATACTTAGCTGGTACACCATGTCACCATGTTTTTTAAGGAATGTTTTGTTGGTTTGTTTTTTTTTTTTTTTTTTTGTACAACAGACAATATATGCCAATAACATAGCTGTGTTTGTAGATCATATTTTACTGCAAGTTGAGAAAAATTCAAGCTTTTGGAGAACAATACAGATGAGGTGAATAAAGTTTAGTGTGTGACACATTTCAGTTTACTGTGCAGCAGAGTGAACATTGTAGTGACCCAGATCTTCTATTTTCAAAACATTACCTGGGAATTGAAACCTATCCATGTTAAGATCTACACTAAGCACAGCTGGACTGAAATTCCTGGCTATTTGAAAATAACGGTGACATGCCTGAAATAAACTTCAGCTTTTAAATATGAGTAGGACACAAGTAAAATGGTATTCCAAAATTGAGTCTAGATTTAAAAGGTCCCAGTTTAAGTAGAAAATATTTTTCCTTGTCTAAATTTTAATATAAAGCCAATGAATTATGAGTGTAAGTTTATGATTCATAAACAAATACATAAACATTTATGGTTTTGCACTTATATTAAGTTTTTAAGATTCCCAAAATAAAGCTTTGTTTAAAGCATACATACAATCATGGTTTATTGAAATAATTTGGATTTTAAAATATTTTTTATGAACTACAACACTTTGGAGTAGGAGACTGGTGATTTCATCTTGCATTTATGTTCCTAGTCAATTTTTTACATTACCTAACTTGGATATGAATCTAAGATAAATATGTAAAAAAAGTGCATTAGCCACATAATTAGTCTGTATTTTGGGGAGACTCAGAAAGAAATCTATTAATATAGACTAAAGATGTGATTAAATTCTACAACTACTGTAATTTTAAAGGAGGTAATTGGGAAGAGCTTTCACACTAAGCCAATGTGAAAAATAGATGCTATATATATATATATATATATGCTATAGATATCAGAAGCTTTTAACCGATAGAAAACCAGTGAAAGATCTACTTTTCCCTTAGAGCTCTCTTACAGTCTAAAGAGGACTGAAAGACCTGTGTAGTTTAATTATAGTGATAAAATACAGAGTTTCAATCCATGAAAAAAATCTCAAATACTTAGATTTCTAGAGATAAACTCTACAGCCTGCGAGTTTTCTTTTTGTCTTGTTGTGAAACATAATTAGACAAA